TGCTGGCAGAATGCCGACAATAACCAGTATACATTCGCATATCAGCAACCAATTAACCATATTGAATATAATATGATCCTGTATTGATTTTAGACACTTCGACCAGTGTCATTAAAACACAACTACCTGATTTGCATGTTCACCCTGTTCATCTTGGCTAGTAGAGCTGCGTACAGAAAAGTAATCATCAATTTTTACTTTCTTCAAGATTTTACCGTCGTTCTAGGAATTGAATCGTAATATAAAAGAATAGTTCTAGTTAAAAAATGATTATGCATATTTACCATTTCCCGGTTGTTACTTCTTGGTTCAACGTTTACATGAAATGTGTTACCCGATATATCCCCATTTAATGACTCATTCATTGACCCATTTACAGTTGGTTGATAGATATGGATTTTTGTAGAAGAATACGCATCGTTCCGTTTTGCTGCCCTTTTTTTATCTGGTCGAGAACCCTAAGATAATAGATTAGGGAATTAATAGCTTTCATTTTGCCACCAAGCAATTAAAAGGTTTCATTAGTGCCACCAGGCAACCTAGAAGGTCACCTGTCGCTGCAGTATCAGTAACAGAAGGTTTTAAACATCAAGCAACCTAGAAGGTCACTTGTGCCCCAATACTGCCTTCGTAGCCCGCCTAGAAGGCTTGAATGATCGACACCAAGAAGGTTTCTACCACGCTACCTAGCTGAAGGCAACCTAGAAGGTCACCTGTGGCTGGCAGTGCCAGTAACCTAGAAGGTTTTTAACATCAAGCAACCTAGAAGGTCACTTGCGCCCCAACACTGCCTTCATGGCTCGCCTAGAAGGCTTGAATGATAGACACCTAGAAGGTTCCTACCAGGCCACCAACAAGAAAATTTTTCCTAATACTTGCCATCTTGTAAAGATTGAAAAGTTCTACTGCCTTTTTCCGCCTTTGACCTTTCTCTGTATTCATGATTATCTCGAGAGACTCTAAATTACACTCATTGAGAAATTCAATAATGCCCCACTCGGACACCCTTCGTTCATGTACCTATTTTTGGAAAGAAACCAAAAGGTAAAAACCCAGGTTGCAAAGAAAAATGAAGAAAAATGCAAGATTTATCCGCATTAACCTTCATACCGCGGGTACCGTTGACATGATTAGAGTGAAAATTATTTATCGATTTTTTAAAGTGGTAGTTTTTGTTCACACTATTTTTTGTAATAAAGTGCGTTTGGACACGCGTTCTCATATGTATGATAAGGGAATAGATTTAGAACTTTCCAACCAAATTTAATGTAGATTCGAGGGTGGAATCTGATAGAGCTTGTGGAATTTTACCATATAAGGGGTCGTCGCGGATCTACCCCAGTATCGCCATCAAAAAATTCACCCCACAAAAAATTCTTTAAGTTCATTTATGTTCAGGTTAGGGTTTGAATAGATAGTAAATCGTTCAAGGAAACCTTTTTGTTAATGCATGAAAGATAGTTTCTTATGCAAATAAGTTTGTTTTGAATTTTCCTGATCGTGTTACGTTGCATTAAATTATTATCTTTTATTGGTCAATAATCACGTGGGGTGAATTTTTGATGGTGATACTGGGCACCAGGGCAAAAGTATCGTTTTTGATAGATCTGCGGCAGGGACACGGAAAAATTCATATATATATAGATATGAATAAAACGGAATTTTTAGTACAAAACGGTATAAAATGG